GGCCGGGCCGGGGGAGCGCGGCCGCCCCAGCGCTGCGCTCCCTTCCCCGGCGGACGCGGGATCCTTGAGCCGCTCGGTTGTTTTCTGAGGGCGCTGCGAGCCCTAGGCCCGTCCGGTTGAGTCAAGAGCGTGTTGGGCTGAAACGGGTGTTCCCCTTCCATGTTTTCAGCGGAGGCGGCGGATCTCTGGGGTGGCCCGAGCGGCGGGGCTGGGTGGGGGAACCGCCTTGGCGACCGTGGGGTTCCCCTCTGGGGACGGGGGGGAGGTAGCGGGGGCTGGAGGACGTTGGTGGGCAGAGTTGCAGGTCAGCGGAGCCCTGTCGGTCCTAGCGTAGGGATTTTTCTCATTTTAATCGTATTTCCCCATTGCTTTTGGAGCTGGGTAGTTTAGCAAAGGAGGCTACGACACCTCAGTTCCCAAGAGGAATGTGTTGAGCTCGGCTTCAGCAAGATGCAGCAGGCTCAAGGGGCCTTTTAGGCCACAGCTGAAGCACAGAGAGCAGTCACGATTTGTTTGATTTTTTTTTTTTTTTAAATTATTTTTCAGTTACCTACTCAATGTTTCTCTTGCAGAGCTCTTGAAAGGGAGACAAGCAAGATGGGAAAAATAGCAGGAAAAAAGGCTTTTTTTTAAATAACATGCCACCAGAACTTCTGCATGGTAACAAAGGTATAAATTATGTTGCCACTTACTTAATTTGGATATTAAATCATGTTTGTGCTATCTGTATGTTTGGAATCAGGACTTCTTTTGGAAGTTGTTTGCTACTCTGCAGCACTTGCAGGCTGGGATTTCAGATGTGGGTTTGTAATGGTCTTCTGGTTTTTATGTCTGCCATAACCTTGTGTTTCCCCTCAGAAGTATCTGCCAAAGCATGTTGAATGCAAGCAGATACTGCTTTCATATGCTGTGAATTTTCTCAATTAAAATACATTTAAGATTTCAAAAAGGAAAAGTAAAAAGGAGATGCGGATCTGCAGTGTAGATTAGCGTTACCGTACCACTCTTCTCACAGTGTCTCCTTTTTTAAAGCTTATGCATGCAAGAAAAAATAAATTTGTTTCATTCCGACTTAACCTTCCAAAGTTCAGTAACTCCATGTTCAGGTTGACATCTGGGGGGAACCACATATATATCATCTTAACAAACTTTATACCAGTATGCTCTGGGACTTCTAAAACCTCAGGGCAATTTCTGGAAGCAGTGACTTGGGTAACTTCCAAACATAAAGCACTGCGCCATGGGATGAAAGTAGGAGAACTGGCTAAACTGGTGTGGAAGCAAGAAATTCCGAGCAGTGATTTTCCCCTAAGTAACCCCCTGGGTTTTCAGTTGCTGTAAACATAGCTTTTCTTAAAATAGTTGTCAAGTCATACAAATGTTTGACCACGTGACAGAAAGTTGAGGGCAGTCTAGGATAAGATCAGAAGTGATTCTCAATGTTGCTTTCCTGAACCAACAGCACTTCGTAATGAACTTGTAACTTCAGGGAGTGCTTGAAAGGAAGCACTGAGACATCTGCTGTCCAGGAATAAATATGCTATTTTTCTCCAAAACTAGCTCTTCAGCCATGGCAATATAATCTTATAAACAGAAGACAAAAGTTAGACAACGATGATTAGACAACAAACTCTATGCCTGCAAGTAGTTGAAGACTAGATAGCTTAAAGGTTTCAGTTGATGCAATACTGAAAAACAGTGCGGTGCAAGTAGTTATTTGTTTGCTAACACATCTGTGCAAATGTACTTGGATTGGTCACTGATCATGGAGGGTAATTTTCACTATGATTTCTTTTAAATCAATTTTAGTACTGTTACTGCTTTGTATGATATGTACTTGCTTAAGCTGACAGGTCTTATGATTGAAACTGGTCTTTCTTTCAGTCTTTCTTCCTGTGAATTCTACTGTGTGAACTTCACACATGCTGACCTAGAACAAAGGTGGAAAGCTTAGCTGTCTGTTATTTTAGTGTTGGCTGGAAAACATACCAATCAGGCTTTTTTTTTTGATAAGGCTATATTTTTAAATCACTGTTTGTAGTGCCAGTCAGATGATTTTTTTTTTTGTGGTGGTGTTTGAAAGCAAGACTCGCATGCAAGTACAGTGAATTTTTAAGCAGGTAATTCATTAGCTTTGGTATTTGAAGTAACTTGTCCTTGAACAATGCAACGTTACATCATGCTACTTGATAACTAGAACTTCCGTTTACAAGTTGGCATTTTTTCTAGTCTTTCCCTCAGCATCATTTTGTCACCTGAGTCATGAAGATATAAGAAATGTCTGTATTGGATGCTAATGTGGTGTTTTAAAATGCTTAGTGTTTAGTCTGTTCTCTGTGAAATAACTAAAATGTTTGGTTCTCTTACGTTTTTAGAAGAAATGAACAAAATCAGTCATGCAAAGAATATGCGTTAAATATGGAGTGCTCAACATCTTGTATTCAAACTCAGCAAATACATTCGTTACTGATCACAGGGGCATCTTCACCTAGCTGAATAAATTGGAAAGTGAGAGCAATGAACAAATTGGTCACCCTGTACCTGCCACTTTGGAAGATAGGGGACTTTGATATGTTTCCTGTTGCAAAAAAATACAGGTTATGCATTATACCGATTCTTTTATGGTTTTTATTCCTTTATGGAATAGACCAGTGTAGAACTTGGAATTAAAAAATACATTATCTTAGTCCTTACTATGCAGAAGAATATATGTTGATGTAATTATTTACTTTGTATTCTTAAAGGCTTGTAATAGCAAGTTGCATGAGAACGGTAAGCAATTAGAATGTGTCAAATGTGGCTTACCATTGCTTTCAGTTATACTTTTCAAAAATTTATCGTTGATTCAGTGCACAAACATAATGTCTTAATTTTCAGGATCAATAAGTTACAAGAATAGACTAAGCTTGCTTAAACTTTTTTTTTTATACAGTTACAATTGGAAATTCATTTGCTGGTCTAGACAGATCCTTTAGATTATTTCAGTATATTTTATTATGCATGTAATTTAATGAGACAGATTTTTAGTAAATTACAGCAGCCCTCCATTCAGAAAAGGCAGGAGGCTGGGTAGTGTTGTCTTCCTGTGATTGTTTATAAATCTGGTGGGAGTGTACACAAAAGGTGAATTGTGCCTGCAGCTGCAGAAATACATCTGGACCTTTTAATCTTGGCCCTCTTGGTTTTACGGTCTAAAACTTAAACTGTATATTGCTCTCGTGGATGCGCAACATCTGTGCTTGGCATTAGACTGAATGGAAGCCTTGATCTGTGGCATTCCTGTTTGAGTTCAATTCCTTTGCTGTGCTGTTGAGAGTTTTAGACGAGATAAGGGTTGTGGCTGTTGGGATGCTATGAACCTCTGGGATATTACAAAGAAGTTTGCATGCTTATGTTATTTGTCAAGAAATGCATTTTCACGAATGGATAACTTCATTATATTTTTACTAGCATTATTTTTACTCTTCCGAGTCAGTTTTTTTTACGGCTCCCAAAAGAATCTGTTAATAGATCTCATTGGGTTTTGATTCTAGGGATAGTTCAAAAGTAATGATGATATGGAAAGTTTGAAGATGGTAAGCGTTTGAATTCTGAGGTGCCTGTGGTTCACGTCATTCACTTCAGACCTAACCAGCTCCGGCCCCTGAAGTGGCAGAGGCTGATGTAGACTCTGTTCCCTACAATGTGTCAGTGCTATCAAGTGAGAACGAGAATCCTTTTAATAACTTGGAATTATAAAACTTGTACATGTTAAGGCTACAGAGAAGTTAGCTCACCAGCCTATTTATAACGGTCCATTTAGCAGCATGTTAGTTTACTGGACGAAATGGGAACTTTGTTAGAAGAACAGAACTTCTCCCCCGTGAATGTGACCTTTCTAGGTTTTGCACAATGTCAGTGAAACTGTTGCGTGGTTGTTTAATAGTGAAACAAAAATGCTACCTATCTTAAGGGATGCAAATAACTTTATTTACATGGTCTTATTTTGTCTTAAATGTAGTTCTAAGTGCTGTGCGACCGTGTTACTATCCAAGTGGGTTAATGTTACCAAGCAGATAGCTAGGTGGATTCTTTATTAAAACTGAACTCTAAACAGAGATATTTGTCCTGTCTTGAGAAGTACAAGTTTATCTTTTTTTTTTTATCTCTTGACAACAGCAAACATAGTAACACCCTTACACTGGAATCCATTTAAGTATCTACTGTAAGTGTAGCTCTAAAGGAAATTCAACCATAGAAGAAACTCTGACTTTCTAAAAACTCTTTGTCTGCTAGCTGTGTGCATGAGCTCATGCTGCAGAATTTGAATGCATGAGGAATTGTTGGTAGGCATAAAAATATGGTTTCTTACGCTGTAGGGCTTTGCGCTAGGTTAGTCAGCTGTTGCCCTCCTGCTTTATTTGCAATGTGATTGTTATCATGATTCTTTAAGAGTCTCCATGATTAGTAAGATACTTTGTACAGAATAAATGTAAAACTACACCTGCCCAGAGAGAATGGGTGCACAGAGACAAAGCTTAAAAAGTGCCTTTGAGTAGGAAGATCTATAAACTTAAACCTGTAACTATTTTTACTGTTCTAGGGGTTTTCTCCGGTGATGTTATATGCTGTAATTGTCTTCAAATTCATAAACTTCAGTGATCAATTTGTAGGGTTGGTTACATTATTATGAGAAATATTCAAGCATACTTAATTTTACCTTCAAAGTAAGTTTTGTTTCAAAGAGAAGCATTCATAAATGATCAATTATGTATCTACTGACACTTGTGTCCAAAGCTGCTGTGCTTGGAGTTATTGATTACTTCACACCTTGTCTCTTACCAATAAGATAAAACAAGTCCTCAGGAATACTAAGAAGTAACTAGATTTACAATACAGTATTGAGTTACTAGGTTTTTTTAACAGTATGGCTAGAAATGAGTGGGTTTATTGGTCATGATCAAACCTAGTATTATGCATCATGGGTAGAGAAGCCACGTAAAACAGAATTTTGTGATCTTTTACAACTGGGGACGATTAAAGTTTCCAAGGGAAGGCTACAAAGTCCAAAGATTGCTGTACCAGATGCTCTCAGGTGGAAAAATGTCTCAAATATTGATGTAGTGTTAAAAAAGGAGAACATTTACAGAATTCTGTGGGAACTTCAGTGAAGTGTTTTGCATCCGTAAATACTAATCTGCTGGAATCAAGTTTCCTTGGTCTGTTTGTTTGTTTGTTAGGTTTGGTAGAAGTTCTGTGAGCCAGTATCCGTGGCTGTAGAACAGAATTTTTGGCTGAAGTGAAACTGGGGACAGCCATCAGTTCTGTAGGTAATTGAGCACTATACCGTGAGAGTATTTTCTGTGCAGTTTCATCTTTGCAATTTTTATGTTCAATAAATAATACTTCTGATAGCAGCACCGTAGCTTTGTGCTGGGGGCAATACTTAGTGTGTGGGACAATTACTGTGGTTTGTTCTGATGCAGAAACAAATTTTGTAGCCTAAACTCTGTTGCAAACCAGGCTTGTAGTGTTTCAGTTGGCTCTAATTCTTGTGAAGTATCACCAAAAATCTGTATTCCTGAGAGAACAGAACGTGATTCTTTCTGCCATAAATCTGTTTGGCTCATGCGTTCAAAGCTAAATTTTCAAATGTTCAGTTTGCTGCCACCATTGTTTCAAGTGCTTTA